GATTTCTCAGAGATGAGATATTTTCCCGCAATAAAAAGTATCCTATATGTTGACCCGGATAACCAGCTACCATCATACCAAATTTCATCAAAATCCCTCCAGTGGTTTTTCCGTGATACGGTAACAGGCAGACAGACAAACAAAAATTCTAAAACAATAGATTCGGCCTCTGTCTCGATAATAATGTCTATTTCAATAAGATTTTCCAAGAAATATTTAATTTACAGATTCGGCATAGTTACAACTTTATTATATGTATAGATTATGTACAGTGAAAATACACAACGCCTAAACTTACTGTGAATATTAAACGACAATACCTATATCCATTTAAATTCCACGAGTGTAACTGCCGAACAAATCTGTCAGTATGCGGATTTTGCCATTTACCTACATAGTGACCACTTAGTTCGCCAGTGGCGGTAATATATTATATACATATTAGAAAATTTGAATATGCGAACTAAAGGCGGTGAATGCACGCGACCGGCACGAGGCCGGCCGATCACCCGCCTTATGTAACTCTTCTAACTACCACAAAGTGCAACGCTCACATTTAAAACAAATAACAAATTGTAAGAGTCTGTATATAACGTAGGTTTTTGATCTTGATGTAAATGCACTACCGGCAAAGTTCCAAATGATTGCATAAGATGCATTAGCTTTATCACATTTAACGCGGTTTAACCCGAACTTACGTTATCAAATGTTGTAATCACCTTAAATAAATTACCGTTCATTGATCTGGCGATTTTGAAATATTTATGTCACTTCAATCCCTTTGATTTCATTTAATTCCTTTGGTTTCATTGTTAATTAATCAAACGTTTAATATTAAATTTGCAGATACGTTTACAATCTGAAATATTTTAAACAGTGGTAAAGACTAAAAAAAACGAATATAAATGTAGGGAAAATAACTATATTTATGAATGTCATTTAGGTATAGTACATAAGTTTATTTAAAAAAATACAAAAACATGACATAATTTTGAGATTCGACGTTAGGGCCGCTTGTAGCAATATTCTTATTTGATTTAAATATTTAGCAAACATCAAACAGTACAACTTGAGCTTGCTGAACATATTCAAGACATTTAAATCAAATTAAGAAATCGGTGCAATGGGCACATACAGATTTCAAAGTGTAATTATATACAAATTTCTTAATCGTTAGACTTAATTATCTAATAAAATAAGTATAATTATCACAAGGTACAAAAATTCATAGAATTAAATAAGAGTTTTGAAAATCATTTATAAATTTATAATGCATTCAGTGGTTCAACAACATGACAAAGCAAAGACCACTCCTCGTGTTTTAGCTCGTAGAAATGACGTCATTGTAGGCTGCAAGTTAAAGTGCCCCGAGTCTATTACTGCAACCGGGTTCGTTGACCGTTGCACCAGTCTCTAATTTATAGATACTATAAAAAATTGCAATAAATTATTTATAAACGATCACCATTCTTTTTAAATCATTGAGAGGGGTCATTGCACTTTTTATGCAATGTCAATAATAGGTTAAGTTTCAAAGATATTTTCTTATTGTACTTAGATAAATTTTATTAAATGCTATTATACTTTACGTAACTTTACAAATATATAAGATACAGGAATTATTGACATGTTTTACATCAAGCTAAACATTTACTCCGCGCGAGATCAAACCGAGCACTTCCATCACGTATTACTTGCAGAAGAATAGAGAAAAATTAAGTACTTGTAACTTCCTACTTTTAACGTAACAAGAAAATTACTAAAATACCAATTAATTTCACATTCACAATATGATTCATCAGACATAATGGTTATCGTCACGGAAAAAACCTTTTACAACTCTAATTAATATAGAAAAAAAGTCACAATTTCCATATGCGTATGTGACACTAATGAGTCACACGGAAAAAAGGGCAAAAATTTCCTAAATTCGTAATACAATCTACAACACAATAATCACTCATATTTATTTCATATTAATTTTTAGTAGGTATTTACCTCTATTCCACGCGGACATGACTTGTACAGTAATAACTATGTGTACATTTGTTATATATATAACAAATATATATATATATATATATATATATATATATATATATATATATATATATATATATATATACACACACAACCCAACAACAAACTTTCACAAATGCAGTATATGACTAAATATTTGTAATAATGATATATAAATTGTACAAATTAGAAATTATTATTAGTGCAGTTAAATTATTAATCTAAACAGTCGACTATATCTACTAGACGGAAATCGGCTGAAGTAACTAGACCGCAGTCTATGGTGGCTAGTTTTGATAGGCGGTAAACTGTAGATTTTATTAAGGGTCATTCACCCTTAAAGCGAATATTGATGCTGTTATCTTAAAAAAATAAAATAAAAAAAGGAAACCCAGGTTATCAATGGAGTTCCCAAAAAAAGACATGATCAGCCATGGAAAACATGTAAGAGGCACATTCGTGCATCCTTAAGATTAACATTTTAGAATATTATGCTATGTACAAAGTAAAGAATCAAAAAGATTATGTATTTTATAAGCAACTAGCATTACTACTTTTTACCGCGGGAGATTATCTAATTCCCACGGGTAAACACGATATAATACAACTCAAAAAACTTTTTAATAAAAAAATAAAAACCGACTTCAAACAAAAGCACTAAAAAGTAAAAAATAACTGATTGGTAGTTTTCATTTACTATACATACCTAATCAAATATTTTCGAAGTCGGTGTGCTTTGCTTTGTATGGGCTGGCACCGATTTCGAAAATATTTGATTAGGTATTTATTTAATAGGTAGGCTTTAGTAACTTAGCCAAAGCACACCGACTTCGAAAATATTTGATTAGGTATGTATAGTAAATGAAAACTACCAATCAGTTATTTTTTACTTTTAAGTGCTTTTGTTTGAAGTCGGTTTTTATTTTTTTGTTAAAAAGTTTTTATTTTTCCCTTATTAGTGTAGACAGTAGTAGCAAAGTAAAGATTCTAACGTGTTAGGCTTGTCAAATCAAACAAAATAAGCCCAAACTCAAAGTATCTACTATTAGCCGTTGAAGAGTTCCACCTATCCACCTTCTGGCCTTGCCATCAGATCAGGTCAACTACACCGAACCACTGTACTATCAACGGAAATAGAAATACTTGCAAAGTTTCAAGTCAATATGACAATTAGAAGTAGGTTAAATTCATCATTAGTTGTTTTTCCACCCTTAGGGGTGGTATTTTTTTTTTGAAATTTAAATGGGACCAATCTGGAAGTATACCCTTTCAAACAAAACAAAAATTGTCCAAATCGGTTAATAAATGACGGAGTTCTGAGGTAACAAACATAAAAAAAAACATACAATCGAATTGAGAACCTCCTCCTTTTTGAAGTCGGTTGAAAATATTTATGATCAGAATTACTTGAAACTTGGTATTAATGCTCTTCAATACAATTAAATAAATACGTGTTTTTAGCATTTTTCGAAATTCATCCCATAAGGAGGTAAAATAGGGGATGAAAGTTTGTATGAAACCTAACTGTTTAGAGTTATTTTTGTACTTCTAGCGCGAGGTAAAGAATAATTCAAATAACTACTTTTCAAAGAATAATTTGGTTGAAGTAAAATATTAAATATAATGAAATTTCAAACAGCCCATCCCGCAAAGCAGACCAGTCTAAATATAGTACAGTCATTTAAGCCACGTACTCCAATATACATTCATTGACACATTGATTTGTCGTGAATATAATTTAAACCACACTCTATATAGCTAACAAAGCTAGGCTTTGATTATAACAAGAACAATGTTACTTGAGCAAAAAAGACGCGCGTGTGTACATATGTACGTACGTAAAAATTTATACTTCTTTGGCGTAACAGAACAAAAATAGCTAAACATTTCATCCCGTATGTCACAACTCTCTCTTTATAAAAGGAATGCAGCTAACTTCATCATGTCGCTTTCAGCTAACTTCATCATGTCGCTTTTTGGCTGTCAGAGTGCGCGCGCATCGTAAAAATTTTACTCTCACATTTTTTCTAAACGTGCCAAAAGAAATATAATTTCAAAAAATCGTTTGGTCATTCTGTTCATCCTTTCCGATACATCTGAAAATATTTGGGCTGGCCTGAAATAATAAAGAACTATTCTCTACGCCACTTTCAGTCGAACAGATTTAAACTAGTTTTCAACCGACTTCAAAAAGGAGGAGGTTCTCAATTCGACTGTATGTTTTTTTTTTTTTTATGTTTGTTACCTCAGAACTCCGTCATTTATTAACCGATTTGGACAATTTTTGTTTTGTTTAAAAGGGTATACTTCCAGATTGGTCCCATTTAAATTTCAAAAAAAATACCACCCCTAAGGGTGGAAAAACGACTAATGATGAATTTAACCTACTTCTAATTGTCATATTGACTTGAAACTTTGCAAGTATTTCTATTTCCGTTGATAGTACAGTGGTTCGGTATTGTTGACCTGATCTGATGGCAAGGCCAGAAGGTGGATAGGTGGAACTCTTCAACGGCTAATAGTAGATACTTTGAGTTTGGGCTTATTTTGTTTGATTTGACAAGCCTAACACGTTAGAATCCTTACTTTACTACTACTGTCTACACTAAAAAGGGAAAAATAAAAACTTTTTAACAAAAAAATAAAAACCGACTTCAAACAAAAGCACTAAAAAGTAAAAAATAACTGATTGGTAGTTTTCATTTACTATACATACCTAATCAAATATTTTCGAAGTCGGTGTGCTTTGCTTTGTATGGGCTGGCACCGATTTCGAAAATATTTGATTAGGTAAGTATTTAATAGGTAGGCTTTAGTTACTTAGCCAAAGCTTTCATCTCCACTGTTGTTATATAGACACTACATTTATATTATTAAATAAACTCACAGAAAACGTACATAATAAACATGCACTTATGTTTGATGAGAAAAAATATAAATATATAGCATAATATTACTATACATTTTTCCCCACTATCTCAACTGGAATAAAACGGCATATTACTTAGTTCCTTAGTAGCTAATCGCGCTGCCCTGTTCAAGGTAACGTTGCAATGACTGTGGAGTGCCTCCAGGCTTTCACTCTCTTTCTTCGTCCACTTCGACTCCATCGCCGCTGAAAATGCCGTACAAGAGAAGGTGCAGAGTAAACTGATGAGTATACATACTCGTATTTTTAAAGCGTCGCTGGGTTGTTCTAGAAGTCTTAAGAAATTGAACTTTTCATCGTCGAATAGTATTTTTTCTACTACATCTGCGTGCTCGGGGAGGCCTTGTAACACTGTTATGAGAATACCCACTATGTTCAATCCTATTCTAGGCATTGAATCTGTAACATATAATATATTTGATGGAGACGTTCTTTTTTTTACAACACCAGGAAAAGTCAGTCTTAAATTAATTAAAAATAGAATTCAAATAAATGTGTTTACTTTGAAATATCATAATTACTTTAAATTAAAACTTTAAAATTGCTTAAACAGTAATTATTACACAGTTAGAGGAAGAAGAATTTCTAATAATTTATACCACCTTTTTGGTATAAAGTTATTCAATGAAAAAAGAATGATAACAACCGATTCAGAATTGGAGAACTTTAAACAAAACTATAATTGAATTAACTCATTTTAAATAAAACTATATTTTGAAAGAATCCGAACAGATAGGTTTATTTAAAATGTCAAATTCGCGTAAATCTAAGAAATTATTGTGTGAACCTCCGCATTTTTCAAAGCCGGTCAAAAAGTACCTGAAACAATACTCTATATGTATATTAGTGTGGAAACTATCAGCAACTTACGCGAAGTGAGCAGATAGGTGAAGACAGGGTGTGCGTCGTACGCGGCGAGGGCAGTGGCGACCTGCCTGACGGCGCGGCACGAGCGCACGCACAGCCACGCGCACACCTCCACCATGCGACCCACTCCCTGCACTCTGGCGACAACCGAACACAATCTATACATATAATAAAACTGTAGAGCTCGAATGTCTGTACATAGAAAAAAATACTAAAAACCGAGTCAGGGGGATGTAAGAAAAGAAATAGAACAAATACATATTTTTTCAATATTTTTGTTTCTCTGTCGTTTGTCTGTTTGTACGGGCTAATCTCCGAAACTGTTGGACCGATTTAAATGAAATATATGATATATATATCCCCGGCCAACATTTTAGATCCCGGAAAATTGTACGGTTCCCGTGGGATAGATTTGTTTTTGGTTTAGACAACCACTAACAATAATAATAAAAAATACTTTATTTCTCACCACGAACAAATTAGTACATACGAGTACATCAATATTAGAGATCTTAGTTTAGCATAAGCTGGTTGTTACTAAATTTGGTTGTGGATCGCTGGTGTCTGTGATATGTAAAACCCCGTGTTACAGGACAAAAGGTCTCCCACCCTGGACATTTATATAAGCTGCTCATATTGTTCATGTTGCGCACAAGATCAATGGTACAAAATACTGTAGTGAGTACAAAAATAAAGTAATATTTTTAGTAACTAGAAGACAGTAACTAGTTATACAAAACTGAATAGCTTAAAACAACTATTTAGTATTATTAGGGCGCGCTTCTTTACAAATTTTCACTACCCTGCACTCTGACAGCAACCAAAAATGCATAGTGTGCTAGCTTTAGCAGTCTAAGCTCTAAAGTCTAAACTGATAATATTTACTCTTTTTAGATCACCCATTTGCCTTTGTGATGCAAATTCTCACTGTCCTGCATTGATAGAATAATCGAAAATACATAGTGTTTGTTAGTTTCAAACGTTTAATCTCCTGATATGTATTTGGTATTTTTAGGATAATATAGCAAATTTTAAGTAGCGCAAGTCATGACGAATGGTAGGTACTAATCATATATAAAGAATGGCACTACATATATATAAAAGATATATGCATATACAATATACATATTATTCTATCTACATGATTACACAATTAATAGATAATATTTATCACGAAAAGCTGTGAATTAATTTTAATTAGAGATTTTTCTAAGGTAAACCGAGTTATTTCTAGTCACCCTATACATGTAAACTACACAACACCTATATTATTCACACTTGTATACCGCAGATTGACATACAACTACTACTTGTGAAACCGCAAAGTAACACAATTTATAACCGAGCAATTTATTACAATCATTTTACTGGTTGGTTTCATTCATTTTTATATTATAAACCTTTCTGACAGCTAATTCCCGTCTTACCACAAACATCTGCCACTAGTAACTACTGTGGCGGAAATAGAAAGACCGACAATTAAATTCTTTAATTTACATAATATATTTTGAGCATATTATTTTACAATGTACATATATAGAGACAGGCAAAAACAAAACTGTTCCTTTCTTTCTCGTTTGTCAACCGATTCTTTTTTTGTTATGTAGCTATTGACTTTAGTGTTATCGAAAAAAAATTGTGAATTGTCTTTACATATGTTTTCTTCAAATTTTCTAGATATTCATTATGGTCGATTTCGATCATAGAGATTTCACTAAGTGAACACTACATAATGTTGTAAATAAAAATGAATCGCAAAATGTGTTGCAAAGCGCAAAACTCGAGAACGGCTGGACCAATTCGTCTAATTCTTTTTTTTCCAAATATTCGTTGTAGTCCAAGAAAGGTTCTTATGAAGACAATACACATTTGATTTAACAGAACAAGGTCTGTCAGGTTAGCTAGCATATATAAACTGTTTACGTTTCCCGATTTCCATCACTAACGAGACAATGGATAGCTACGCCCTAAGACACACGAGGCAAACTACAATTCTCATTGCTACAATACTCATGTCTTCCGCCTTTACAATGAAAAATTATGGATTATTCGCTCGGTGAAACAATTTTAAACAAAGGCAGTATAAATAAAATACAAGATAGTTACCTGTCTTCGGCCCCTTCGTCAGAGTGCTTGCTGTCTCTCATGAGCGTGTTTATTGCTGCTACGAAGTTATAAACAACTTTCGCTTCGAGGTACACCTGCTTACATAATTGAACCAATTTATCAATACGCAAAATATTTCTGATACATTAATTAGTGTGAAACCTGTCCTTATAAACTTTTGCCTTATACAAATTTAAATATATTGCAAAATGCTAATCGTGTGAACATAGCTTCAGCGTTTTGATTTAAATAATTTCTAAACTCATTTGACACTTAAATTACATAATTTAGTTATAAATATTAAAAGGATTGATTTTTAATGTTATTAGACATACCTACTATAATTTACATAAAAAAATATATATTTAAATTTTTTTAAATAATATGTCTATTAGCTCCTACTAGTGCCTAATAAATAATATGAAAAAAGACAATCAGTGAATTAGGTTTCATATAGATTATAAAAAAAAAAAAAAAATGAAAATAAATTAAAATTACATAGGTATTACATAGACATCTTTATAGATTTCGCGATTTACACTACCTACAGTTCTCGAGGCGTAAGCTCTGCTTTGCATTTGTGCGAGTAATAGCCGAAAGTAAGGTTAGTAAAAAAAATCTATATTTTATCAGAAGGAAATGCTGACATTTTAATTATTAAAAAAACAGTCAGGAGGACTGCCGACAGAAGTGAAAACTTAAAACTATGAACAAACAGTTGTTATTTTTGGATATTCAAATTAATTTTTTGATCTTAAATTAAAATTTGTAAATCAAAACTGTTTACATTTATCTGGTTTTGACATTTATCAGCACTCTGAGTGTTAGCGTTAACATATTCGTTCAATTTGCACAAAATTTCATTCGTTTGGCTGCTTAATGGTCTTCGTGTAGTCAATTTAGTTACAGTCAGACAGCCATTTCACTAATGATAATAATATAATAATTCAAACGCAATAACAAGATAATATTATACGTCAAGCTGCAAACGGTACAAGAGGTGAGATGCGGAAAATGCAGGGCAGGGAGATGACACGTAAGGGACGCGCTGGGACTCAGGCCGCGCTTCAAAAACCAGTATAAAGTGGTTTAAACCATGCGCGGGACGCCCAAGCCACAAGCCGTACCTCTCGGTACACTATGTGTGTACACTCACACAAATTCGAAGCTGAGCTTAAGGCGCGATGACTGTACCTTATTTAAATGATTAAAGAGTTATGCATATGTGCATATGTATGACACACATGTTGTGTATATTTGTTGCTTTTGACGCTAAAACAGCTGGACGGATTTGAGTAAAATTTAGACCACAGATATAGATAGATTGACTGAAGTAACACATAAGGCTACTAGGCACCTATGGATGTACCCGAGTGAGGCGAATGTAAGTCGCTAGTGCCTAATAAAGATATAAGCCGTACTTACATCCTGTATGTTGAGTAGAGTGTGCCGCGGCAGGGAGTGCGAGAGCGCGGGCAGCGCCAGCAGGGCGGCCACGGCACCGCACACGCGCGCGCCGCGCCCGCTGCGCGCCGCCACGCCCACCACGCCGACCACCATACTCACCTGCACGGTACAGGCACATAAAAAGTATCATTAAAATCGTCCCTGCCGTTTAGGTGATGATCAGTGGCACACCGACTGCAGCGCCACCTACTGGGTGTTTTCAAACCATTCAGGAGCCCATTGAAATATACACACAAAATTTCATCCAAATCAGTCCAGTCCTTTAAGAGGAATAGGTTAACAAACACATGTACAGAAGAATTATATACATATATTAAGATCCATACAGTTGATACAGGCGATCGCAAATTGATTTTAACGGAAAAATGCAAGGATTATCGAAAAATACTAATTCTCATGGCGAACGGTTTCGAAGATAACGCTGTAGTGCCATCTCGTAGCAAGTACACTCCTATACCTTAAATCTATTTCGGAAGTGTCATTGTAAAGTATGACAATCGGGTGCGCCTCACTCCTAGCGTCTCACCAAGCACTATATATAAATAAAATAAACCTACCATGTTCAATTGTGTTAGTGATTCAACATCACCATCCATCACTTCGGTAATATTAGAGTTCAGAAACGCCTCCCACTCTTCTAATTCTATTATTGAAGGCTCCTTGACTAGAAATTAAATAAAATATAAAAAATTTTAATATCTCCATCATGAAAGATATACGAACAATTAAAATCATAAAATATATTATACATTATGTTACAGGATGATATTCTACTTTAAATCTCGTATTTAAAAGAGAAATCCGCTATTTCTTAGTATATTTTTTTTATGTTTACCATCCAGTGATTCTTCTGGTTTCATAACACAGTCGTTATTTGCTATTTCTTTGTCGTTGGTAGTATCGTGGATAATTTCACACTTTTCGACATCTTTATCCTTATCTTCTTTACAATACTTTATTGAATCATCTTTCTTTTCTACTATGCTGGGTATTTCTATTGTGGGTTCACTGATTCGCCTTTGGGTATCCTTGTTCTTGTCTATGCTTCGGCTAAAATGGAAAGATCTTTTGATGCTCCTTGTCAGTCGGTTGCCACCGCTTCCAAATCTTAATTTTTCTCTCGAAAATTGCAATAACTTCTGTTTATACGATGGTGGAACACTCTTGCTCAACCCTGAACTGACATCGCTGCTACATTTCGTCGAACTCTTTGGGTTCTCTAAGCTTTGAGAAGCAGTTTCTGTTGATTTCGGCTTCTGTTTATCATCTTTTTTATCAACAACTCCAACATCCGATGATTTTGGGCATTCTTTTGGTGGGTCATTTTTCTCCTCATCAATTTTGTGCATTTTGAAGTCGTGCTTTTGATTGGCTGCCATTAGTTGCGCCATGTTTTTCTCAAGATTGCACACCACAAGATTGGAGTTATTCATAATATTGAATTCGTGACGCAAGAGTTTAGCGTTTGCCGCTGTTATTGGCTGGGATTGATCCTCGTCGTCAGTTTTGAGACTGTCGCGGACACTGAAAGCACTCGTCGCTCGAACGCTGTCATCGTCAGACATCGGTACACATTCCATGGCTTGCATAACTCCACGTACATTTCTCATATCATGCTCTCTGCTCTCAAACTTGGTCTCACTTGCAGTTTTTATGTTTCTGGCGACAAAAGTATAAAATTATATTTTTAGCAGACTAAAGTAATACCTAAACCTATACCTGCTTGTAAATCATAAAGTTTGTGAAAAAAAATCTATTCGTCTCAGTCATATGCTGTATAATGTATATATATACTAAACACTACTAAAAATTTAGATATTTTTAAAAAAAACTTTATGTAAGTTTATAATTGTTCTTTAAAATCAGTATCATACTAATATGAGTAAGCCCAGTACTTAATACTTTCATTTCAGTTCATTAGTTTAATTTATCATTTTGCATAAACTTTGGCACGTTTTGAAATGCCTTATGTAAACCTAAATAAATGTTTATTGGAAAACCCGTATTCCGACTTTGCATTAATAATAATACTCGTACAATTAATTCGTTAAACAATGTATTCATTGGCTGATCAAAAAATAGATTTTTATAAATTAGCGTCAAAAATATCATTACGAAATCATTTAATCATTTTCACTATAATATATAAACAAATTACTTAATATAATTTATATTAAAATCAAATTATTGATTTCAATTCAATTCGTTCAAAGCGTGCCAATTGATCAACGGATTACTTTGCCAATGCCACGTAGAATGGAGAAGACACGAAGGAGAATTACAGTTCTACTAATGAGATAAAAAATAAATAAAAAAAAAACAGCATTGAATTCAACAAACATTTTATTGAAACAAACCTTCATTAACACTTTAATAGAAGTATTTATATATTCGAATTATGTGAAATTATAATTTAAAAATTATAATATTTAAGATAGTATTTGACAAATTTTGGTATTAATCTGAAATACGTTTATGAAAAATATAAGATAGAATTAATAAATACACGATATTATGGTTTCTGCCATTTGCTATGCATGCATTTATTTTTTTGTCCACATTAGGATATATAATATGCATTGTTATAATTTTCCCTAATACAAACAACTAGTTTAGATAGTTATCAAAAAAGCAATGTTATAACTTATAAATACTGTTATTTATGTGCTATACTTACTACCTATACATATAATAAAACTGTAGAGGTCGAATGTCTGCATATAGAAAAAATGCTAAGAGAAATAGAACAAATCCGGATTTTTTTCAAACTATTGTTTCTCTGTCTGTTTGCCTGTTTGTACGGAATAATCTCCGAAACTGTAGGACAGATTTAAATGAAATTTTGCATGGTGGTACCTTATATCCCCAATCAACATTTTAGATACTTTTCATCCCGGAAAATTAAAGAGTTCCCGTGTGGGTTCCCGTTAAAACACTATAACAACTTATACAGCTTAGCACTTAGTGATTGTGCATTTCTAGAGACGAACCCGAGCGAAGAGAGTGAGCCGCTAGTGTATGTATATATTTTCCGTTTATTTAGAACAGCAATAAATACATACATATTTATAATAATTCATAGTGTAATAGCTAACTAATGTTTTCTTAACCGTTTTGGCTCCCTTCCATATACTTCTGCTTCCTTGGATAAATTTGTTGTTGCTTACACAACACCTTGTTTTTTTTTTATTTATTGTTAACTAACTGCGTCATCATTTATTAGCATTTCGCTATCTCTGCAATTCGAAATAGAATTTCTCACTGTATTAGGTGATTCAAAGGAAAAATTATATTCTGTATTAAATATCTGCCGAAATTTTTCATAACTGATTGTATAATATGGATTCTGATTCACATACGTGCGATGTATTTCTGCAACTGTTAAATTCGAATCTAAATATTTTTTGCATTTATTGCCAGATCTGGTAGAATATGTATCTCTGGCAGGAAGATTTTCAATGAAATTACGTACATTTTCTATTGTTTCCTCATCGTAACTTGTATGGTTACTGTGCCGTCCTCTCCCATCTTGAATATCCTTCTCGCGATGCTTTACTTTAGATTCGAGCCTGTCTTTTTTAATTCCATGGATACTGACAAATGCTTTTTGACACAACTCTACTGTCCTATTTCGTGTATTTACGAAATATTTAAAAACTCGTCGACTTCTGGATGTTTCTCGACCACTATTTCTAGGACGACTTCTTTGCGGTGCCAATTCTTGTAGACAGCTTTGTAGATACATGTTTTGTTCGGTGTGACTTTGAAAATTAATGAATCTTTCAAATACACTTCTAGCTGCGCGTTCATTTAATTTCTTTCTGCAATTACATCTACAATCCGGAATGCTTTGAAACACATGCCTCTTTAAATTATTTTTAATAATTTTATTCTTTTCCCACGTTTCTGGCCTTGCTTTTCTTTTTCTACTTTGTTTCAAAGGAGTGTTCGTATGAGTTTTGCAACGTGGCCCTTTTTTGGGTAATATAGTTGTGGAATCAGTGTTTGTTTGTGCTTTTATCTCACGTTCTTTATTCAGGAAAAGAGCTTCTTTGTCCTCATTCCCCAAAGTGTTTTCAAACAGTCCAGTTTCAGGGTTCAAGACTGTAGTTGAATCAATTTTTAATAAACTTTCTTCATTGTCTACAGAATGTGAAGCTACCGTCAGCGATGGAATGTTAGAATTTACAGATAACTCACCATCAGACTCATACAAAATTAAAAAAGTGCAAGAATCTCGACCGTCTTCTATGTTATGCACACTGTAAAAAATACAAAAATATTCAAAATACAAGCGAATGTGAGAAAAAGCTAAAGTAACATAAAGACATTTATGTACATATGTATAATAGAAAAAATTTAGAGTCATTTTATAATTAAAGCTAATAACACAAACCTGAATACCGTATCAGTTGAAGAGATATATTTTTTTAAAGCACTTAAATTATCAATCTTTGTTGTTCCAGCACTCCCGGAGTTATCTCCAACATTATGGTCAAACAAATGCTTCTCCATCTTACATCTATGGCAAGGTAATAAATTGTACTTTCAATATAAGAAATAAATAAAATTTGACATCCATCGTCAATTATACACAGCAGATGCACAAAACATTTATGTTTTATTTTATTTTGATCCTTTTTTTTATATTTTCTAATTATATAAATTGCACATTGATAAAGAAGTTCCTAACATAGTGTTCTAACATACCAACATGCAAAAAACTATTTATAAGTTTTTATAATAATATAAAAAAAAGTTGAAGTGCTGTTTGTAATGTCAAAATAACAGCTTTATACTAAATGCATATAAAAATACGATACATATAAGAAGAATAAAACATATTTTTTTTTAATTTTCGTCTGTCCGTTTCTTCCAACTAATCTTTGAAACCGCTGATCAGATTTTGAGGAGGCTTTCACTAGCAGATAGCCGATGTTGTAAAGAGTTACTTAGGCCACTTTTATTTTGGAAAAATAATTAAGGTTCCGCGTATAACGATTGTAAACAAAATCCGTGTACTTAGTGGCACACCCGAGCCAAGCGTGGGTAAGCCGCTTATAATAAAATTAAAATTGTAAAAGCAATGTTACCACTAACTTTGTATTTTTGCTCATTTTTTCAGTCTGTAAGAACTTAGCTTCTTGCTGACTGCAGGACAAAGGCTTAGTGAATGGTGAGTTACTTTGCTTATCCTCAGGCAATATCAAGACATGGCCCGCTATGAATGGATGTTCCAGTATCTCCGGCCAGCTCATCCTCTTTACTGGGTCTTTATGAAGGAGCCCCTGAAATTTTTATGAACTTATTTTAAAAGTTATACCAATTTCATATCTAATCTGTATAACATTTATACTAAAAAACTTAGTGGAAAGAGTTCTGACATTTCTTTACAATACTAGTTTAAATAAACAGATAAATAAAATTGAAGTCTGTTGGTAATATCGAAATAAAAGCTTTTTAAATAAACAACATAACAATAAGAAATGTAACAACTATACCCTCGAGACATGTAACACCTCAGTCTCTCCCGTGACCATGGATGCTGTAAAGCATTGGAAACGTCGGGAACCAAAAATCTAAATAAATCCACTAAATAATCCGAAAAGATAGTTTTATTTAAAATATCAAATATTCGCGTAAATCTAAGAAAGTATTATAAAATAGAAGCTTTTTACTAAATGCATATAAAATATATATATGGTACTTATAAAAAAACTTTTTTTTAATTTGTCTGTCTGTCAGTTTGTTCCAGCTAATCTCTGAAACGGCTGGGCTGAGTTTGACAGGACTTCCACTGGCAGAGAGCTGATGTCACAAGGTGTACCTTAGGCTACTTTAATTTAAGAAAAAGGATTACGATTCGAGCGAAGTGAAGTCACTAGTCTATACATAATATATTATAATTGTAACTAAGCCGAATCTGTACATTAAATATTTTTTGGAAAATCTTATTGAAATAAACATTATTATCAATACAGAGGCTGAATTTATAGTTTTTAGAATTTTTGTCTGTCTGTTACCGCATCACGGAAAAACCACTGTAGGGATTTTGAGAAATTTGGTATGGTGATAGCTGTTTATCCGGGTCAACATATAGGATACCTTTTACCATGGGAAAATATCTCATTTCTGAGAAAAAATACAAAAACTGCAATGTAAGACTATACTAATATGTAAAACTTAAAAATTTGGTTTTTGGTCATCTGAATGCGGGCAGAGCTGCAGGCAATGCTAGTCTTTAATATATTAATAAAATTATGCTAATAGTTTTTTTAGATCTAAGCAATAACGAAATACCTGTAAAAATGATCTAGCATCTGGACTGATAAAACTAGGCCATTGCACTGGTTTGTGTCTAATCATCCGAACAAGCTGCCAGATAGACATTGTACAAAATGGAGGCTGACCTGCCATTAATTCATATACAATACACCCAAGAGACCATAAATCAGCCTGAAAAATAATAAAAGGGTACCTTATAAGTTATATACATTTTTGACACTAATTTCAAAGTTAATTTTTTTAATATATTTGATGAAAATAATATATAATAATATTTTAAATTAAAATTACATATGTACTTGAAAAGCATAATGTGGCATTTTTGTATTCTCCAAGTAGCAAAGATTCTCAATAATTCAAAATAATACCAGTCAGTATTGCTTTTAAGAACACATATTGAATTGCAAATATTTCCTATTTAGTTTAAAACATGATATAAGGTCTGTTTTAAAGTTTAACAGTAAAATTATTAAAATAAGCTAAATAATTTGATAAACAATTATACATATTTAAAAAAAGTTTTATCCAATTATTAATTATTACCTGATGATCATAAGGCTTCTCGTCAATCAATTCTGGAGCCATATACAGGGGAGTTCCTTTTATAGATGTAAGGATATGAGTAGCATTGGTCATGATGCGTGCTAGTCCAAAATCACAAAGCTTTGCACGACCAGTGCTATCAAGCAAAACATTTTGTGGTTTTAAGTCCCTGAAAAGAATTTGTAAAATATTCTCGCAAAATAATATAAAAAAATTATATTATGTAGATACATTCATATTACAAAACCTTATACTTTACCTATGTAGAACTCTATGAGAATGTAAATAATACAATGCAGAAACTAAGTCCCATGTTATTTTTTTAACATTATCTTCACTCAAACATCCTTCTTTAGCAAGTATACCATGTAACTCTTTTTCAGCATATTCAGTCACAACAACTAACTCTGATTCAGTATCAAAGCTGTCAATCATACGAATTATGTTTGGGTGGTTTAATTGTCTTTGTATATCACATTCTTGTCTTAAATTTTTAAGGTCTTTCGACGATCTACCTTTCTAAAAATATAAAGAAAAAATTAAAATCTTATGGGTGAAATATAACTCCACGAAAATGTAGTACTAAGTTACAATTTAACAAACCTTTCGTATAACTTTCAATGCAACAACTGCATCTGTATCTTTATGTTTTGCTTTAAAAACACGGCCAAATGATCCTTCACCGACAAATGAAATCACTATATAATTATCCATTTTGGCTAACTCATTTACTTTAGTAAATAAAATGTCAAATTAAGGTATACAATTCACTGTACATTTAATAACTTATCCAACAAGTAAGAGTTAAAATGCTTAGAATGATTAAAATAAAAAGTATTAAAGTAAATGTAAAACAAAATAAACAAGAATCTTAAAATTTGGAACAGATTAATTATTATTTAGTACTGTCATGTGAGGCACAGACTATAAAGTCACAAATATGAAGATGTGAGAGCTTACTATTCAAAAGATGGAGGTAATGGTGTCAAGTACATAGTTGAAGGCAAAATAATGTACGTTATTTCTTTTATAGCAAATTTTAGGTCTGATTATATATAGTATATAAAATTGTATATTTCATTGTTATTATACTTTATAAAGAATTTCACTTTTTATGTCCTTTTTTTATATTATATGGATCTTATTTCTTATATTTTAGGGCAACATAATTTTGTACGTCATTACATGTTGAGACCAAAATGGTGGTTATGCCTATTATCATGGATGACAAATAAATTGCCTATTATACACAGTTCTACCTTTCTATACTTAGTCTGTTTACCTTGTCTAGTTGTCGACCTATAAAAATTGTTGTTATTTCTTATCCTAACCATAGGACATTGTCCGATCCCTACAGAATCTATATGAAGGTTAACTGGCAATAATTATCATAGAAAATGATTAAGTACCATTTTATGAATAATTAGAGACATCTTGGCAGTTGGCACTTATTGCCATCTTGTGGATAAAATTAAACTACAAAATACAAATACTAACTAAAGGGACTAATTGTATGTATAACCACAGACCATATAATACAATACTACAGTCTGTTGTGTGGTCGTGTATAAAGAAAGATTCAACCCACGGCTTTACTCAAATCCAGGCATATGTAGCGGCATTTATGCTATTGGTATCAATAAATTTTATCTTGTATCTGTTTTTTAAGCTGATGATAGCAGTTTATTATATACTATGGAGGGTTGAGGTAAGGAGAACCGTCTTATATTTAGTTGAAAAAGTGTCCAGTTGTATGCTGAAAATAAATGGCGCTGGCGTACAAAAACTTCAATATGAATTTAGCTGTTGTAGACGGAGTGATAAGTGAGGTGTGATGTGATGTGGTATGTGTGATGAAAGTTTTTCATGAATAAAGTAGTAAATGTATACTAAACCTCATCTATTTATGTAGTCTAAAATAATTTAGTAAATATAGCCATCTTTGTTTACTTCCCTATCTTACTCTAATTACTTTTGTCCCTTCCTTTAAAATTTATCCTACGCTACCGCAGCGCTACCCTTATTAGACGCGTTTTGACGGACACTTTCATACACAGAGATGCCTCTGGCCCTCTACCCTCCACATTTATAAAGTTACTGTCTGTGTGTTGTGGCTAGCATGTACGGCTGCACACCCGGAGGTCCTGGGTTCGAATCCCGGGTCGGGCCAAGTTTAGTTATTGAGTCTTTCTGTATAGTAAGTCTCAGTAACAGCCCGGAGTTGGGAAGTTGGCGGTGTTTCACCCCCGTGCCTCGGAGAGCACGTAAAGCCGTCGGTCCTGCGCCTTAATTCTCACCGGTCGTGTCGAACATCGTCCCACCGGAGTATAAGAGTGATAGGAATAGAGAGTGCACTTGTGTCTGCGCTTACACTTGTGCACTATAATATCTCCTGCGCAGTTGGCTAATCTCAAAGAGATTGGCCGCCGTAGCCGGATTCGGCTAGGAGAACATCATCATCATTAAGTTACATGGTGGTCACATTAATTATAAAATTTTTATTTTTAGATACGTTCGAACCAAACATTACAGCATCTTGAATCTCTGAAAGAGATAATGCACACCGGTATAGTCCATTTTTTCAATTCAATTCAAAATTGCTTTCTGTACATCAAAACCTATAACTTATATAGTTTAATTCCAACAAGAAAATCCATTCAGAGAAAACAGTCGGGTAGATAATAAATATTATGAAGTGTCCCAAAAAAAAACATATTTGATTCCCGTTGCATTCCCTCGCATGCAGTGTTCAGAGGCTCTTCTAAAGATGATGATAGAGAGATATGAAAAATAAGAAGCAAAAAAAAAAATTATTATGGAATATTATTTTTATTATACAACGAAAAACTAGTGCAATTATTATTCAAAATAATATACCTAATATGTTTAACGTTGATAGGATATTTTATTTGCCTACGACACAGTAATATTAATCGTTGATTTACTGTTTTAGAAACGAAAATATATTTAAGAAGTACCTAATAATAAATATTAAAAAAAAAAATTATTTTTCTTTCTCTTTCTTTGCAAGTTTTATTATTCATTTACCCTCATTATGTAGCATAGTAAATAAAAACATTTTAAAAAGACAATCGCTTCAGCATTGAAATAGGATGTGAAGACATGCTGCTAATAAAGAAAATAACAACGAAATATCCCTAATATTTACTACGTTATCAATGATACTAATAACTTTAAATTATTTAGGTTATTCTATTAAAAGTAAAGGAACCTAACCCAGTATATAAGCTAAGCATCTCCTATCGACTACATACCTATACTATAACTAAGAAAACTTTTCACTACACATTATAGTCTATCGTTGAGCTCCACGTGATAGTTATTCATTGATTTAAATTTTTGAAAATCTAAACGTGATAGATAATGATATATGAGCAGATGCAATAATATTGCGAGTACATATAAGTGTGAATCATCCTTAAAACGCTCGTAAAGAAGTCGAACAAGCCACAGTATCGGCAGGCAAAAATGTTTAGCGGTTACGAGCGAGCGGGATTTGTTAATGCTTTGTTGTCTATCATCTATTTATACTCTTTAATCCAGCAAGCAGCTGTATGAGATAAAGCTCTAAATCGTCCGACCGAATCATACAATAAAACACCAACTGGACTATAGCATCGGATGAAAGCATTTATTTCACGTTCAAACATATTATATCCCAGCCGTGCAATTCAGTAAACAAACGAGACAGAGCGTGGGCGATATGCGTGAATTAGAAAATCAGTAACTCGGAATTTGAGCTAATTACTTGCGTGTTTTCGATGTCAGTACATTCCAATAGAAAAAATAATAATAGTAAAAAAGTAATTTACAAGAATAGAAAAACCAGACTGCTTAAAAATGAAATTAAAATTACGAGAACAAGTTGGCGTACGAACATAGTATCATGCAGTCAGAGACATATGTACGTGTCGACATAGATTATGTCGTTTTTTTAATATATATTAGGTTATACTTTTGCTTATCAATAAATACAATTCTGATAATACATAGTAGGACCGATTTTGATGAATTTTTCGGCGTTGATTAGTTAACTAGTGTCCAATTTTTATATAGGTACTTAAATATTCTGCTTCTGCGCCAACAAAGCAAAATTTCCAAACCATCGACGAATGCTAGCTTTGCCCTGTACGAGTACCCACTTACTTTAAATGTAGAAGATTAATCTTTCCCATCGCCCGCCACAACTGTACTCTATAATTGAACATGCGTTATGAACAGAACATTACAACTGAAGCTGAAAATAACCTGTCTTGACTGATGTTCATAAAAATGAAATTGATTTAGTTTATTACGATTCGTCTGACTCGAACTCATTATGTACTATCCGTAACAAGGCATCATAAATTTTAATATCAAACACTCTTTAACAGAATAATTTTATTACTCGTCTTATAGGTAATCAAAAAAACGACCAAGTGCGAGTTTGACTCGCAAACTGAGGATTCCGTAGCATGAAACATCAAATTTATATTTTGCTGTAACATACTAGTTTTTCACCTCGAAGGTAAAATAAAATATACCCAAATACGATAGGTACCAACTCATTTTATTGACGGCATAAGTACCAAGTTACGACGCAAAAACATCGAAGAAACTACTTCTTAGTTACATATAGGTATGGAGTGCCCGTAACCTAATAGTCTCCAAGTAAAAACGGCTGTGACAGATGCACAGACGGACATGGGTAAATTATAAGGATCAATATTTTCGACCACATTTGACACATCTTTTTGGGATAACCTGTAAATTGATATAGCGAAAGATATTACAAGAAACAAATGACTTACATACAAACATTTATATAAAGAGTATTTATATTTTTTACCCGACTTCCTTGGAGGGTTACCTTGTTCGCGCGTATCTTGTATGTATGTACATATGTTTGTAAATTTCTTTATTACCTCGTATCTTTCAAACGGCTAGATGGATTGCGATAGTTAAGGTATCGTTAGACTCGTCCGAAAAACCCAAGTGTCCTTAGATACTTAGGCGTTTTAACAAAAATCTAAATGTCGGATTTTTACCGCCTGTGCTTTGAAAAAAGTTTTTTCTTCTTAATCAATTGAGCTGGGGGTATCAAAATACAGAATTTTAAGAGGCGATTCCAAAAAAATATACCACTTGTATGTTTAAAAGTAATTTAGGATAAGAAATTGTTAATTGAAACTAAGAATGTCTAACTGACCAAAAATAAAAAAACCTGACTGCGTAAGAAGCGAACTAAAAAGATGAGAACAAGTTGATGAAGGAACATAGTATTATACAGTCGGAGACATACCTACATATTATGTACATGTTTTCTAATAGCTGCGTGTGTATGTACCTACCTACATATAGGTATATCTGCGACTCTCGCTTTTTACGCAGTCGGGTTTTTTTAATTTTGTAAATTAATTCTTTGTTTACTTTTAGAGTTAGTGTTACAAAATAAACCTACAAAGCGACTAGGTGAATACATACCTATGGACTATCATTATAATCATTTAATGATATAGCAAAAGGAAAAAGGAAAGAGACCTAAAAACAAAAAAAGATACATACAGGTGAACATAGAACCTCCTCTTTTTTAAAAGTTGGTTAATAAATCACGTGATGTCCTACTTTCTACCCTACGCAACATCCAACGGAGGGTTATGTATTTGACCTGCATGTATATCCATAATATGTACATTGTACATAGATACAGGTCAACCCTATATGCTTTGTGTTTAAGTAGGTACTAAATGGCTTCGCTGATTTTAATAAATTATAAATCACTGGCGGGTAGCTAGGTACGTTTTAAATAGATATAAATAGTTATTAGCCAGCGTTAGCCATATGGATTTTAATTATTTTTTTCATGAATTTTTCATTTTTTTCCTTCATAAGAACCTTCTCCTGACAATAACAAACATAAAAGAACAAAAAATAGTTAAATCTGTCCAGCCGTTCACGCGTAATGGCGTGACAAAGGGAAATAGATTCATTTTTATTAATATAGAAGATTACATTCGTCTTGTATATTAAAATTATTAAAAAAGTCTTCGCGAAGAAGCCTACCTACACCTAAAAGAAGAATATTGCAATAGGTAGGTATTGTGTGAAAATTATTTCGAGAAAAAATGGATACAGATAGGCGTAGAGGCTTTTGCAATTGCAGGTCAAAACTGGAAATTATTTAAATAGTAAATGTATTTTTTACAAGTAGTAGGTATAGATGGGTAGCTTAAATTTATTAAACTAGTCCCTCGTGTAATTTTGCATGTGCTGTGTAATGTCACAAATCCTGTTTGCTTAAATAGATAAAACTGTAATAAGTAATTTGTTATACTACATTACGCTTATATGTAGGTACTTCCTAAGAAATAATTACTAACCTCGCTTCGGTTCGGTGCGTCTCAGGTAAGTTTTCAATAGGTAAAAATAGTTTATGTGAGTATACCTTAATGGTGCCTACAATTTTCTAGTACATGTTTGATGTAGGTATCTCTTAAGGTTACGTACATTTTTTTAATAAAACACCGTCATAGCTAAGCATCATCATCAGTCATCTTGTAAAAAATATTTACAAATTATATAAGTACACAAACCTTCCTCGTTTTCTATTAATGAAAACCACATCAAACCTCCCTTTATTTAAAAGAAGTAAGCGGAGAAACAGAGTCACAGACGCAGAATTCAAAAAGTGACTTCGTTTTATACTATGTATGTTTAGATAGACGAATGGTTTGCGCCCGAACTAGATTTTATGTTTTCCCGTGGGAATGAGAGATTTACCTTTTAGTAAAGTCACAAATAACATAACTACTATACTAGGTACTAAAGGTATTTTAAATGGAGTTAATTTTTAGGACACCTTTTACTAAAGGTAAATTTAGACTCACAATTTAGTTAAATTTTTTGAGTACTTTTTGTGTGAAATGCACACAAATATACAGACAAACAGACAAATAATTCAACAACAAATGATTTGGGGTATATTCTTTACACAATACGTACATTCATTGTTTTAAAAAAATATTTCATATAAAGATTTCGCTTTGTGCTTCTTATTTATTAGAAGATACAAATCTTCGAAAAAGCTGTACCTATCGAATTACATCATGAACCTGCCATTAAAATAAATTATAAATACACAGCGTGTGGTTTAGCTTCTAAAATTCTCTTTTTTTTTCTTTGACTTTCTTACTATAGGCACGTTATTAATAGAAAACATGTTTTATAATAATACTTTCTTAGATTTACGCGAATATTTGACATTTTAAATAAAATTAATAAAACATGTTTATTATTAATATAAGAAAAATATTTTTAATCTCTTTTTTTAAAGAAACACTGACTTCACACTTCACAAATAATATTTATTCTATCTTAAAAGATGGAAACCAATTAAGTGCCTTCTCTGTTTTGAGTCGGTCAAAAATATTTCCCACAGCTGCGTTTGTAAGCTATCTAAATATTAATCATATTAAATATACTACTAAAAATTGTTAATGTGTACAAAAATATGTTAACCGCTATCTGCCATGACAATGTAATAGTATACCTACATCACATATGTATGTGCATTGTAAATCATAGAACAGATCTGTCTCAGTATAGACAATGTAAACAAATGACAACTGGCAGCAATGGACGGCGATCACATTTTACTAACATTGTGCACAATAAACATATTTAACCTAAAGTAAACTTAATAAATATATGGAACATTTTTCTTTTAGTAAATGATACGCAAACTTTAGTTTACATATGTTTACTTTCAAGGAAAATAAACAAATATACATACGTAAAAAAAAAACTAACAGCGCTTGTATAAATAATAAACGACTACACAGCAAACGGCTCGAAAAACTACATTATTCTCGTTTAATGTTATAGCAAATTCTGGTACCGACTGCCGAGGGCAGGGCGGGCGGCGCGTAATGCTTACAGTTTACACGCCGGCCGCTTGTTTACGTTTTTCATGACCACGTTTCCGACTAAAAATACGTTAGCATCCTGCCGTTTGAGGCTCACGCTATTGGTCGGCGCGAACGCAGGAAACCAGGGAAGATTTGCCGAAACGGCTGCCGCTGCCCCCTTTTCCCCCGCACCTCCTCTTATTTAATGTGAAAGTATACGAAAGGCCAAACTCGTAAAGCAGCAGAAATAACCCTGGAGGCTGGAATCAGCAGAACCGCGGTCAGTCGTGTTGTGCGTCTCATAGTGCTAACTAGTGACATCAAACATGGTTCTGGACACAGAAGACTGGGTAGGTGGATTTTTGGAATTCCCAAAAATCTTTTTTTGAAATTCCGAAAACTCTTGAGCGTACGTTCAAACACAATTCAATAGTATATGTCGGTTTTGTTAGTGATATATTTTTATATTTAATAAACATAATCATTTACTTAATGATTTGTTCACTTTATCATATATATATAAATGATATATATATATATATCATTACTTTTATTCGATATCTACAGGTGTTAAATCTGTCAGAGATGCCATAATTAAGTGATGATCATAAATATAATAAACGATCTTAATACATTAGCTGTCTATTTATCCCAAATTTGTTTCCAAGATTTCCACCTTGTGCTGTCAATTACACTACTGAGGCTCTCTATATATTATGCTCATACGAATATGTACAAGTACATACCTCGATTTCTTCTATATACACTAAAGATTATATTAATAAGTGGTGAAATTTCAAAATTACATTAATATCACTTTAAAGACATCATCAAATCATTTTTTTCAAATTAAACACCAATCAACATTTTTTAATAACAAATGCATAACTCGTCAATCTTCCACGAGTTTCATGAGGGAAGAGTTCTAATATTATTATCCCAACATTTTAAGTGCCATTTATTTAAAGCTACATACTTAAGATAAATAAATTAAATTATAGGCAAACTAGTTCTTTTTCAAAGAAGATAGATAAAGATTATTTTTTATAAAAAATAGTTTTAATTTCATATTCATATTCTCTATCAATACAGCAGAAATAATTTACACATAAAAGTGAAAGAAAATTGAAAGTTTACCTATAAAATGCAATATTTTAGCAAAACTTTTAGTCCCAAGTAATTTTAATCTCAAGGACTTGCATAATTTTAAACTCAATTTAAGTACCTATATGTTTTCTGTTATTGTACATTAAGCCGTATATTCGTTAATTGTGAATGGATTTTAAGGATTCTTTTTCAATGGATACGATAAAGTGAAGGGTCCCATATACATTCCAAAAAAAAAATAGTGGGGCGTACTTATTATAAATTAAATTTAAACCTAGTGTACTTTTTTCATTAAAAAGTAATTAACAATATAATTTTTTTTCTTACCTACATATACATAATAATATTAAATTTGTAACTAAGTCGAATTTGTACATTAAATATTTTTGGAAAATCTTATTGACATAGACATTATTATCGATACAGCGGCCGAATCTATAGTTTTTAGAATTTTTGTCCGTCTTTCTGTCTGTCTGTCTGTGACCGCATCATGGAAAAACCACTGGAGGAATTTTGATGAAATTGGATATGATAATATCCGGTTATCCGGGTAAACATATAGGATACTTTTTACTGTGGAAAAATATCTTATTTCTGAGAAATCTAAAAGTTAAAAAGATGAATCGATGATAATACTGATTATAAGTAGAGATCGTATTTGCATTTGTATATACTTATAGAAGTGACCGACGTAAGCCCAATGATACTATTTTAGTTTCAATTGCACGTAAAATATTTATTACGCCCCACTAAAGCTTGCGTTTACGAAAATTTGCTTTTATGTGTAACATAAAAACGCCTTCTCATATGCAAAGAATTATTTATATTTCATCAAATATTCAAAATTTAATATACCTATTATTACTGTTTATTGTTCAAATTCCATTGGAATTTATTTTTTTAGTTTTTTTCGATCCTTTTATCCCTTGTTATGTTATACCATAAACATTAATATGAGTATATGTACAATGTACATACCTACATACATATGTATTTCATTTTGTACCTCATCCAATTGTAAAATAAACAACTTGTGCCTACTATTTACCTACTATTTGGAATATGGTTTCATTTTAAAAGTAAATGAATAGTAAACAAATAAAAAAATAACTTTGAAGTATAATAACAACGAGCTCTGCCTATTCAATTCAAAATTCTTTACCTTATTTAGGCAGTAGGTAGGTGTTCAGAGCTAGCCGTGTTTTTTCATAGTTAAAACTTAATCCTTCTTAAACATTCTAGATATTAGTTTGATTAGTTTGATTCACTTAGTGCATACATTTTATATTGAGTGTAAATTCTATAAAGTCACGATTAATATCATCTGTTTCAGGCTGATGAGCTCCCACCAGAACAAATTGCCGGTAAGTTGATATTTTCATAATAACAATAAAATATAACATACTAGCGAATTACCATCGCTTCCCTCGAGTGTCCCTTGGTGTCTAACAATACTTAGTCTATGTGTTACTCCAGGCCACAGTCTGTTTGCTAAATTTCATCCAAATGTGACCAGCCGTTTCAGGGGAAAAAACTAAAAAAAGTAACAAATATATTATACAAATGCAAACTTTCATATTTATAAAATAGTATTTATAAGTAGTCAGATTTCGTGATCTTTGCTTAAATGTATAAAAATGAAAAAAATATCGCACAATCATTTATGGAAGTGTGCCAAGAATACAATAAAAGCCTGAACATATTTAACTGGCACGAACTCTATGTAATAAATTTATTATTCTTTCAAAATTATGTGTGGGCTTAATTAATGTTACAGAAATAGTTTCTCAAACAACTACAATGGGGCGTATCTCATAAAAATGAATAAAAACTGTCGTGAAAAATAATAATGAAAAACAATATTTCTGATCATATCGTAACTAAATTTAAATGATTTAGATACAACTTTCATCATCATAAACTTTCTGTTGACATGATCTCCGAAAAGTAGTGTAACTTTATATCTCTACAACAACAAACACGCACCTATCAAGCTGTCAAGTGATATTTACGAAAGATAATACGAAACCAGTATTTTTATTTTTTTTATACACCAATCATATAATTTATTTTGACTAAAATCACATATAGTTTTAATACAAGTATTATAAAAAATACTTGTCTGCAAAACTATCATAATAAAATAGATACTAGGGAGTTATCAAATTTATTTCATAATATAACTGTAGCGTTAAACGTTATTTCAGCATTTATTTACATTAATAGGTCTATACATTAGCTAATGTTATTATGAAAAACATGGGGCGAGTTTGGGCGGGCGGTAAAACACCGTGGTAACATGCTTGGATTCGTGCCAATGTACCGTGAATGTAAGATAGAGTCCTATCGTCATTGTTGTTAATCTCTACATTATTTTTAGAGAATAGATTAACATACTTATGCATTTATGTATTAATATATTATCTTATATAATATATTTAACATTTTGGTTTAACATAAGTAATTTTACTTTTAGCAATATAAAATATTTTGGATATTTTTAATTTCATTTTGTAATAATTCTTTTAGATTGCTATTTAAATCAATAATGAGTTTAAGTTTTCAACTAATTTCGAATAATAATTTTAAGCTAAAAAGTCGAAATACTTATTAGATTACACGTTTTGTACTTACGTGATAAACATTGTTAGTCAAGCTATACAAGTTAAGCGTACTTTAGAAATAAATTCATTGATTTCAAAAGTACGTACCTACATATTTTTCTACTTGTTTTTAACTTTTTGAAGAAATGCTAATTCAACTAGCACGCTTTGAAGCCATTAAAAAGAAAATTTTGAATTGAATTGAATAGAAGGAATGGTAATTATATATAATATATCTATATATCTGTATAATAATAAATATTATAAATGTGAAAGTTTGTGAGTATGTATGGATGTTTGTTACTCTTTCACGCAAGAACAGCTGAACGGATCTGGATGAAATGGCACAGAGATAGATTATAGTCTGGAATAACACATAGGCTACTTTTTATCCCGGAATAATATACGGTTCCCGAGGGATAGATTTGTTTTTGTTTTTCTGCGATTGCGGATGATGGTCTATATAATAAAATTGTAACTAAGCCGAATCTGTACATGAAATATTTTTTGAAAAATCTTATTGAAATAAACATTATTATCGATACAGAGGCCAAATCTATGGTTTTTAGAATGTTTATCGGTGTCAACATAAAGGATATTTTTTACCGCGGGAAAATATCTCATTTTTAAGAAAAATACAAAAACTGCAATGTAAGAGTATAATAATATGTAAAACATAAGAATTTGGTTTTTGTCACCTGAACGCGGGCGTAGCTGCGAACAATGCTAGTAGGTAATTTATAATTGGTTGTGTACATTTTATGTCGATTGCCTGTCGTAGAAACAATACAAAGTTACAAAGTCAAGAAGTATGTCGATATGTAAATATACATGTGTATTGTGTACCTACTACGAAACTTAGTTAATTTTATATATACAGGACAGAACGGGACATGAAAGAAAAGTACCTCAAATATTTAAGATATCAAGTTCTACTCACAATAAATATTCTTTTATATTTTTTTTAAATAAGAATAATTGCATTACATTTTTTTAATACAACGCCTGAGTAATCGAATCAACTAAAAATGAGAAAAAAAAACTATTTTATTGAACGCACCAATAGGTATAGGTATAGGTATGGATAACAAACATCTCTAAAACAAAAATTGTAACTAAAAATCATAGAAAACCATAAATTCTTGCAATTTATAAATGCTGACTTTAGCTAAACTCGAGTAACAAACTAACAAGGTATGGAAGATTGGCAGCTCAGGTAAGCGTTAAAAAATGCAGTTATTACTATACAGAAAGTTTCATTAGAGTAAAACGCTTGTTTGTTTCACTATGTTTGTAAATAAATAAATGTTTGTATATATATATATATATATATATATATATATACATACAAATAACTACTAAAAGATTTCGGTATATTTTATTTTATAATATCTCAACTGTAAATGTCTCATATTATGGACCAAGGTTAGTAATAAAGTATCCATTAAATAACGTTTACGTCATTCTGGATAAATTTGGAAAATCTAACCGCCGCGATCTGCCCTCATTTTGAAAGCCATGGAAAGATCGTGGGTAGATAATTAATAAACAGCTAAAATCTAGAAAAAAAAGTAATAAAGCGCATGGGGCTTTGAGACAACTGCCAAGACATCTTGATGATTAAAATTAACAACCCGGTGTTGGCAAAAATAAAAAATGTGTTTTTAAAACTATTTAGTTGCCAGAATATCATAGAACAGCTGCAGACTTTTAAACTGTAAACCTTTGCGTACCGTGTGTAGTTAGGTATTATTGCGAGCACTAAAGAATGTGTAATTAGATGATATCAATCACTTTTTATTGCATTCAAACTTTCTGACAGTTACAATAAACATGTCTTTTATAACGTCTTACAATGCGATTATGGTTAGAGAAATTACCAGCTGAAATGTTTTTAAATTAACAAACTTACGAATTTTCTAAATAATATATACAAGAACCATGCATTTTTTTATTGAAAAATAAGAATATCAGTAAAACTTTAATTTTGTGTGCGTATTTTTCTTTTAAATTATATTTCGTACATAGATTGTGCATAGATTGTAGAGTAATAAAAATCTACTACAGTCTTCAATATTAAAAATTAACGAAATTAAGCGTACAGACATTAACAGCTTAAAAGCTAAACAAACAAAAGTTTCTTGTTGACATTATGAAAATACATTGTAATGCCTAAATTTAAACGCATGACGTAATAAGTTCAATGAGTCAAATACTTAAAATTTGAAAAATGAGTTCATCGATTTATCTTTCATCTGTACCGTTATAAATACGAACCGTTTTATTTTTGTAATTTACATTTCGATATTATTTTATATTTTTACAAAATAATGACGCACTTTCCTAAATATAGCACAAGTAGGCAAATTACTATGAAATTTTATTGCTGTCGTTAGTCGCCAGCGCATATAACAGACTGTCATGTAGCCTTCATGGGTTATACGATAACTCATGTTTCATATTCATTTAAATTTCCTTCATATTATAAATGGGACGAGATTTTGTTAGATCTTCTTTTAATTTATTCAGCCAGCTGGTTGATGAGTTTGATAATAAAAACATTTTTTGCCGTCCGCAAATGGAACAGTTTACGCACATAATATCAGCACACAATATAAAAAAAAAAAAGAAGGTACTACACTTTTGAAAAATGCACCATCATATTTAAATTATTATGTACAAATAGGTACCTACATATTATCTAATCAATCAATAATTGATCTAATTTGGATTTTCCGAAAGATTATCAAGATAATACTGTTTATATAAGATAGTATCGTAAATTCTTTATAATTATAACTCATACTTTAAATATTTTAATCTAGTTAGTTCTATATACTATTCTTATATAAGGAAGATAAACAATTTATTAAGCAATCCAGTTACCTAGTTCCAATGTGTAACTCCAATAAAATATTTAACTGGCCTATATATGCGTGCGTTTCCCAACGCAGCGCGATAGGCACCGACGATGCACCACACTGGTGCACCAAAATAGCTGTATTGCACAACTTATTAGCACTGCATCTAAGAGCATTGAACTGCTGTCCTAAACTTACCCCAGCCGGTCTAACGCTCAGTGTGGCTGTTCTAATTACCAGCGAACCACCGGGAATCCGTACCTTTACAACAAGCATTTAAAAAATTCGAAATTTAAGCATTTATTCAGCATTAATTCTTTACTGTGCCATGAGTACACTTAACGTTGAAGGTATAGCGATTGTATAATTCAATTATACTCTGTCCAAGTTTCGTGATCAATTAGTTTAATGAATTGTCGTGGTTTGTTGCAGTTCTACGCAAAGCGTTTGATGGCTTCGACCACAACCGCTCGGGCAGTATCCCCTGCGACTTCGTAGCTGACATCCTTAGGATGATGGGACAGCCCTTCAACAAGAAAATCCTTGAAGAACTTATTGAGGAAGTTGACGCTGACAGTAAGTATTCTTTTGTTTTATATTCATCTAAATAAAATCATTTAATCATACTTAAAATCCCTAGAATTGAAGTGAATTATATAATTATATACTTCTATATCGTCATTATTTATACTATCGATTTTTAAATACGCCGGATTCTGTCAAAAGATGTAGTACAGTAATTTACTTAAAAATTTGTGTAATCTTTTTGTAATTTTCTTAGAAATTTTTGTTAATTAATAATTATAGCACATAGATATGCACAATAATGTTATTAAATAATAATCAAATTTAAATTAATTGATATGTATATTTAATCAATTGGTCAGATCGATTTATAAAAATATATTTCTCAGAATCTGGCCGCCTGGAATTCGGCGAATTCGTAACTCTCGCTGCCAAATTTATCGTTGAAGAAGACGCCGAGGCAATGCAGAAAGAACTCAGAGAAGCTTTCAGATTATATGATAAAGAAGGTAGGAAACTACTAAAAATATATTGATATATTAAATATATTATTGACTTCGTTAAACAAAATTAATATTATTTACGTTATTCTATGTGACTTGCTGGATTAAGTATAAGTAGCAGCGACCTACTGAACAAAACTAACGCTTTTATTTTTTAGTCACTGTCATTTATTATACTACCAACTCAATATTAAATATAGCAAAATATTTTTGAGATAATCGGCGCCGACAACAATCGGTGTTTGTAATAAAGAATTAAAAATAACTTTGTATTATTTATTTTTAGGCAATGGCTACATTCCCACATCGAGCTTGCGCGAGATCCTGAGGGAGTTGGACGAGCAGCTAACGGATGACGAGCTGGATGGCCTCATTCAGGAAATCGACACAGACGGCAGCGGCACAGTGGACTTCGATGGTAATATATCTTATAGAAACATTTTGTGTTTGTCATTGATATTTGAATATTATTAATATTGATGACTCTATTAGTATCACGTAACTTATGAACTATTAAAAAAATCTATTGCATTTCCAGTAATTTAAAAGTTTTAAAAGCTTTATTATTCACTTCACTTAACCATATTTTTTTGATTTCAATACGCGTGTATTACAAATAAAGATTTTTTTATTGTTACAGAGTTCATGGAGATGATGACCGGAGAATAAATATTATTCAAACTCTCATTTTTTTACATTTTGATATGTTATAATTTTAAGTTAAATATATTTCATACATTTTGATACTTCAACCTTTCGAGGCCCGGATTATTGCAAATTATTATATAAGGACAGAAAAACATTGTCAGTAAAATTATGTAACAACTATGTATTGTACAAAATAATCCACAGCTCTCGTTTAATTGATGCGCGTGGCTGAGATATGTTTAAATCTACTTTAATAATAATAAACCTTATACTATACCTACTATGGAAGGCGTTTGATTTCTAAAAATATGCTATTTCAACACATACGAATAAGTGCTGGTGAAATGAGAGAGTTACTCGAAATAAATTTTCCTCCAGAGATATTATTGTAGAGATTTTGTGAGATAAAAATAATGAATTCACTGTTTTAAAACCGGACGCCAAATTGTCCTAGATAATTTTGATGGCATAAAATACAGAAGTTTGGCGTCGGGCCAGTCAAGTAATGGGTCTATTTAAAATACTTTCCGTTTGTTAATAATAAAATCTTCATGATATTTATTTTCTAATTTATTTTGATATGAAATAAAAACACCTATGAGTATTATTTATTTATTATTAGGTAATTCTTTGATCGTTGTATAACTTCCATGTTGACATACTAAAAGTAAGCGTCGCAAATTATATCTTTATAATATTGTTTTAGTACAGGAAGTCATAATAAAATATATTAAGAGAAAAGCTTTTAATAACTTTATAGATTATACAGATATAAAATGATACAATATTGTGGTATATCAATTCAATTTATACATTGAAAGCCAATTTTATAGCACATTGCTAATAGTTCATTTTGGCAGTCATAGAAGAATCATTTGACAGATAAAGTTATTAATATATTTATATTTCATATATTTATTTCAAGTTAATTATGACAGAGAGCGACTTTGATATTTTACATAGAAATAATACAGCATTATTTATTCATATAATAAAATAAAAAAATATAATTAATATGGCGACAAAATTTGCATTATCTAAAAATAACAACTCAATCTCCAAATAACTTACTTAAAAGCCTACATAAAACGTAGACCATTATTAAATAAAGTTTAGACATTAAAATAACGGGAATGCAAATAAAAATGATTATAAAAGTAATTATAAATTATAGTGAAAACTGATGACTCAGGTGCATGATAATCACATCGATTGTTTGAAAATTATTATTTTCTTGAACGCTCGACATAAGAAAGCTTAGATCGTATATCATTTTTAATTTTATAAAGATATAATAATAAACATCGTACATTAGCATTAACGTGTACTAACTGCAACAATTCAGCGTAGGATACGTATATATAATATGAACGTAGACATTTTTTTTAAATTAATCGTCAAAGTGACTGTTAAATTTATTTAAATAAACTTCATAAAGTTAAATTGGAAAAATATTTTATAGATTACACATGCCTGCAATAGTAATTGGACCTAACCATGTGTTCTTCAAGCTTTTGCTCTAAAGATACATATTAAATTATAAGTGCTTTCCAATTTTAAGCAATATTCTAAGCAGTATAGTCTATAAGGAATCAAGTGCAGGCAAGTGTAGTCCATAGAGAGACTGAGCAATCAGGAAGAGTCCTGGTCGGTAACAGTAATGCTATTCTTTCCTACATTTTCATCAATTTAAGTCTTTAGTCTTGTAATACTTTTGCCTGTGTTAACATGACTGACACCTGTTCTACTAAAGATCCAATGGCACATAGTAAGTACATTCACTTATGCGAGCTAACACAAATTCGATTAACAAATTTGTAACATGAGGATAATAAATCTAGCACGTTTTTTGTCAAATGTAAAATTCATTGGTAACGCGTTTTAAAACTAAGTTTTAAATCGAGTCTTAGATTTAAAAATTAAACTAATTATATAATTACCATAACATACTTGTATTAAGCTTAGTGGAATAAATCAAAATATGTACATTTATAAATTAAGTATCGGTGACGGTACCATCAGGGACTCGTACGTCTTAGCGAGTTCTTTTCTATGAGACAACATCGAATTCAACTTCATTTCAAAGTATATACACAAGATTCATACAATCTCGTTAGCATCTTGGCTTTGGTTAGGTCTAAAGGATTCGTAAACTATCTACAGATGAGATCTCAATTTGAACTATGTTAACCAAACGTCTCCGGTTTGAAGTCATATTCAAAGCTAATTACCACATTTATTGAAAGTTTAGAAATATGATGTAATAATAAATACTGTCCATAATTTTAACTGGAAAAAAGATAGTAGGTACATAGACACAATTTTAATTAATAAAACATTAAACCAGCATTTTGTCATATAAATACATTTAAGAGTGTCTATCATAACTCATTGGTCGTTAACGTATAGAAATAATAAGCACATAGCTGTTAGCTAAACTCAATCATACAAATCTTATTCTTAAGACATTATATAGGAATGATTAAACATTTATTTATATATATGTAGATGCTGGTCATTTGCGAGGTATTAGTATGCTATAGGTGGTCTACATTTTGTATAACATAATAACAGAACTTGATAACCTAACTATAAGTAGATTTATGAATACTGTTTATGTAAATAGATCTTCATTCCTAAATTCATTGTGCCTTCAAGACACAATCCACACCGGCCAGAGTCGAATTATCCCATTTACATGCTGAAAAAAAGAAAATATTTATAAGACATAGAATAAGTTTAAATATACTATTTTTTTCATTATATAAAATTTTTTAGCAGGCGAAAATATTTAAATAATATTTACCTCACATTACTACACTGGCAGGATTGACTAGTATTTGTGTTGCCGCAAAAGTTAATGAAGAATTGGAGGTGGGGGTCTTGATCGACTGTTATTTCTTTTAGGTATAGCACCTATAGTTAAAAAATCATTCTTTTTAGAGTGAGGAGTACGTTGAAATCCTTTATGGCCACGATGAAGCCATGGTGGTGGCGCCCCCTCACACCAAGCAGCACGAGCCCAATTTTGAGGTTCTGCGCCTACTCGAGTACATTCTCTAGCATATGCTCTGTATGCAGCACAATGACATCGATAACCTGTACAACTACAAGCATCAAGAAGACATGCTTCCTTATAATTGTGTGGATTCACTTTCGCACCACATTCTGCAAATGCTTCGTGCCGGTCAAATGCCCGACATAATCGTCGTACTTTCGACAATTTTGATTGTCGACATCGAGAAATCCCACCAGGGCGTTCCTGTCGTCGAGTGCAAGCACGATATCCTCCCACACGCCATGAAGATCCAAATCTCCAGGTATCATTTAAGAGCTTTCCATTCCGTGACTTCATATCGTCTCTGGCCACTGAATTAAAATTTCCGCATAAGCCACAGAGTTTGCCTTTATATAAACTAGATACTGTTACTTCCAAAAATCCATCACCATCCCATAACAATTGCACACCTATTTCAGATTTTAATATGACAGATCCGTTGCTTCGATTAATTTCGGCCACTCCTTTTATTATATGCGGTAGACTTATTCTTTGCCCGTTCACTTTTATACGCATCTTTTTACCCATATTAATTTTTGTGGACCCAATCCGAAGCGTTGCAGTACGTGTCCACGATGAATGTGAAGTATTTCTGGCGTCATTTGATATTCTTATTGAAAAGGTATGATTTTTACAATCAGACACTAATTGATATTTACATGATCCTTGAAAACTATAAAACTTTCCGTCGAACGTTTTGTAATGGGGATCACCAAAAACTGTGCATATACCATCAATATCGACACACTTTGGACAACATTGACCTGGTAACTGTCGAAGTGTTTGGTCAGGTGGACAGCTTAACACTGGACATCGTTCCATAGCGCATCTCGGTTCTCCTCCATGACACTCGCACGATTTACAAGCATCTAACTGCCAAGTTTCTCCGTCCTGAAAAACAAAACAGACGAGGTTAATAATGAGAACCTTGGTAAGTAAATACCTATTAAATTTTTACATTCATCGACGTACCTGGTATGTCTTGCCTGCTATCACACAAGCTGCTTTGGCTTCTTCAATTTGTGGGCATTCAGGACAGCATTTACCAGGGAGAGGGGGCAACGCTCGAGCCCCACAAGTCAACACTGGACAAGTGTGCCGAGTGCAAACAGCGGTACCATTCATACACTTGCAATCCGTACATGGGTCTACTTGGAACGGGCTGAGATGTGCGTGATATTCTTTTCCAATTATACATGGTTTCGGTAACGAAAATCCTGAAACTTTTAAAAAAGCTCATTAACTCAAATTGTCCAGTGTTCAAAAATGCTTACACTATAGCAAAAAATACTGAATTTATGGCAGATATATAGTAATCGGTTACAGACATACCTATGCTTATATGTAAACTTAAATAAAAATAATTACTCTTCCTCTCAATAAAGACAATGTGTTCTTAATTGATTTCATTTATCTTCCAAACTTAGAATTCACCAAAATATCAAACCTAGTAAAGTGATTTATTTTTTTGACATAGTATTCGGTAGAACCGAAGTATTATTTACGCTATTTATGAATAGCTAGAAGAAATATAAGTAAGAATACTAAATATAATCAGAAAACACCTGTTATTAATAGTAAATCGCTGATACCTCGGAGGCTAAGATTCGTCTCGTAATTGTAATGAGGCTAGGTCAAAAAGGCCTGTTCACTAAAATGAAAGTCTAGAAATTCCCAGAAATGTTTAATGAAATTATGGACATAAGAAAAGTTTATGGACTCATTATCAGATAAAAACGTATCGAATTTTATATAGCCTTTGTCTAGATTAGATTTTTGTTTTAAAATATAAAAATAATAGTATTTACTTGGAAGAATTTTATCCGCTGTAGGATGCATGCAGCGTGGACAGCATTCACCGGGCGGTGTGTATTGCTGGGACCTCACACATGGCAGTACTGGGCATGCTCGTTTGGTGCAAGACAATGCACCGCGCATACACCGACAAGACAAACATGGCTCTTCAGGAATACGCACATCACGGCCCTCCCAGACTCGTTGGCCATTAACGATGCACTCTAAAAAGCAATAGTAATTAATTACTAAACAATTTTAAAATAACATATGTATATTTTATATTTAATTTTTACTAATATCTACAACATACGCAAATCAATATAAGTTAATATAATAAATATTAATTAAAAATGGTGGATGTTTAATAAAGTAAATAACAAATGAGAAGAACAGCTACTATTTCTGAGGACTTCAACGTTTGTCACAAAGGGCAACTTTCATAAATTAATGCAATCGGGCAATGAATCAATCAGGATCTAATGAATGTGTAGAAATAACCGCACACGAAGTGCCCATCCTCGGAACACGGCTGCCAGATCACGCTTGTTATCTCCTCAACGACTATAAATAAATATTACACATATTGGTATACTCTCCAAAGAGAAATTATTGTTCTTATTTAACATACGAGCATTCCTTTAACGGAACGCATTTATGTTGTATAATCCAGAGCTTTTATTGTAAATTATTCTGAACCACTTAGATGTATGTTTCAGTAAAATATCTACATCATAGTCGCCCTTTGAATGAAAAGAATGAAAAGGAAGTGCTGTAAAAAATATTAAAATGTAAAGTGTTCACACTCCACTGGCCAATGCAAAATCTAATTGTCATAATAAAGGCACTCAAGTCTCCTAAGCAAAACACTACGTTGTCCTTTTGTGGACATACAATTAAATCTACATCGTTTGGTTCGTTCAATGCTTGAGTGTTTATTTATATTGTTGTACTGCATCTAAAGGTGGGTTCACACTACATGTGCAATATATTTTTTATTTATAATATTTACTTCTTTTTTTCTAACCAGCATAATTTTAAACCAAATTAACGAGCGTTTTTTCTGGTACAAATCTTATAGTCATTATTGGATACACTTAACTTTGTAACTGATTTATTCCACTAAGTATCACTTGTTTAAATATGTAGGTATAAACTACCTATTAGTTGTTCTATTATTATATAATTTTAATAAAAAATACAATTCTAATAACATAGAAGTATTAAAGAATTTCATTATTATGAACTCATTACAAGATCTAAGCTAAGTAAGCTGTTTGTAATGAAAATTGTGAATATATATAATAATATATGTATAGTAATTATATATAAGTAGAATCTGCAGTAGATACACTTTTTAATGCTACTCCATTAATGCCGCAGTTATGAATGGAACGATCATTCAATAATTTTTGTCTGGCTTTGTACGTGAATACATTTTTAAAGACGCAGTAGGTATGTAATTGGACACATGGTGCAACCATAAATAAAATGACAATTGGTTGGTTATATAATGCATGCTGATGGAGAGATGTAGACTGTAAAAATTATAACGAAGATTTTATAGCGTGTTTTTAAGTTTACTTATGTAACACCCATAAAATATTCATTACACGCACCATGTGTATATCACAAGCTAATTATTTTAATTTCTCGGGCCGTCGTCGCAGACATGGCCAATAATAACGATAGCACTCGAAACGTTTTAAGAATTTAGATGAGTAAGCTTTTGTTTATATTGAAAAAGGTTTGTAAAGCTTTAGAATTTCCAACAATGACACAGAATACTCAAAGTTTAGCTCAGAATGTTTATGTAAATTGCTGACTAAATAGTTTGGTATTTACGAGTTAAAACAAAAGCGTGAGTTTAATTTTCTTTTCAGGTTATTTACTGTAAAAAGTAATACAAATTTTATTAATTAACTAAGTACATTTTAATGATTTAATCTATACATATAATAAAATTGTAATAAAGCCGAATCTGTACATTAGATATTTTTTGGAAAATCTTATTGAAAGAAACATTATTATTGATACAGAAGCAGAATCTATAGTTTTTAGAATTTTTGTATGTCTGTTTGTTACCTCTTCACAGAAAAGCCACTGGAGGGATTTTGATGAAATTTGGTATAGTGATAGCTGGTTATCCGGGTTAACATATAGGGGGAAAATGTCTCATTTCTGAGAAAAAATACAAAAACTGCAATGTAAGAGTATATTAATATGTAAAACCTAAGAATTTGGTTTTTGATCATCTGAACGCGGGATGAGTTGCAGGCAATGCTAGTTCAAAATATATTCTTTTGCTGTTAAAATATCTTTATTATAGGTATGCTATAAAAATGCACACATATTATAACTATTATCAAATAAAATATTAATCACAAATGAATAATGTATACGGATGCCTTTTGCACCGTCCTATAGCAAAAAAAAGCACTTTGGGGTTTGATAAGGCAGTAATCGGAAAGAAACAAGATATAAAAGAAGCAGGGCCTAATGCACCGTTGGGATCGTAAAACAAACAAACACAGGGCACACCTCAATGTTCCCGCAGCCACACAGACGTCGGCTGCTTTGAGCAGCAGACAAAAACCCACCCGCCTCTACCTTTTAAGTAGGTTGTTAACTTTTTGATTTATGGTCAATAATAGAGACGCAAACGCCGTGGGAGACTTCTCGGCCATTACGGATTCATATATATAATTTTAACGAACCCCCGTGAACATAATAAGATCTGATTTTGTTAAAACAAAGGTAGAAAGGCATCCTTTGTTTCATGTACTTCGTAGCGAAGTTCAAGCTCTACACCGAATGAGCGAATATGTCTTGGGTGGTCCACTTAATTTAACATTTTCAAATTAATTTACATGCGCATGAAATCATCCATTATCAGTTTTATTTGTTCATATTCATTATTATGTTTCATCAATCCATTACTCTGACTAAGCAACACAGACCAACAAACACACTTTATTTATTAGAATTTATAATATCATTGAGCTATTACACTTTACAGCATGATGAAGTAAGACATTCACATTTTTATTCTAGTAAATAGTAATGCTATTGCGATTATATCGTAACTATCAACAGTATATATAATAAATTCTTTACCCATAATAAGTCAGTCTAATAGAAACACATATTCTCGATTTTTTATTAAAATAGACAGATCAATAAGACAGCTCCTTATCTGTTAATAGTCATCGTAGCAATATGTATGGAATTGAGAGGGACGAATTATTATGGCTGAGTCGTCCATTGTCTACAGATACTCTGAGCTACTGCGCAACGTCTTGTGTGTTATGCCATTGTCAACCTCGGCGTGTGGGCGAATTGCGGCCACCTCAGAACAAAGGTTTATCTTAGGGCAATCGTAGACATAAGACAGTCAAGGACGTATTAAACAATTTTAAATAGTTATATTTTTTTTAATGTCTCATCTTTTGTAGCAGATGCATTTAAATGCATGTTAAATAAATGACCTACGAAAAACCTACTTATTATAAGAATACTGCAAATAATAAGTATAAAAATACACAAAATAATTTAATAATTCAAGAGAGTTAAGGTCCGAGAATCCTTCGAATACTCTTGACCAGCCAGTGGGTAATGAATAAAATATACTGGCAATAAAACGATAGGTTGGAATGTGTCGGCCATTTTCAAAAGCAATTTTGTGCCGTCATCTCGAAAATTACTATTATTTGATTTTGAATTAATAAACTTGTTAAAGTTTGGAAGCGGACGTAAATTGCCTGAGTTTTGGTTTTATTAAGTTGGCATGTCGGCTTGTGTTTGTTTTTGAATGGGATTATAGGTGTTTTTTTGCTGCGCGCGCGTCTGGGTGGGCGCACTCCGAGACAAGGCTGCGCCAGCGCCGCTCGGCAATTATATTCTTTAACATAACGTATCTTGGTACTCATGGTGGGAAAACGCAGCGTGAAATAGGGAATGCATTCTTTTAAGTCATTATGTTTGTTCATTTCTTATACTCACATAATGTTATTGGTTACCATGAAATACGCCTTAAAGAAGTAATTTTTATATGAAAGAGTAATTAAGATTCTTTAAAAATTGCAATGTTAAAGTTTTTGCAATTCTACTGAAATAATAAAATGTCAATTTGCAAAGGTGGCACGTAAACATGAGATAATAATAATTTATTTGTATACCTTCATATAATATTATTTTGATATTAATTGCTTTATCTATACAGATAAATAAAATTGAAGTGTCTGTTTGTAAAGTCAAAATACCAGTTTTTTTACTAAATGCATATGGAATTATATACGGTATTTATAAGAAAAACACAATTTTTAAAAAAAATGTCTGTCTGTTTGTTCCGGCTAATCTCCGAAACGGCTGGGCCGAATTGGACGGGACTTTCACTGGCAGGTAGTTGATGTTATAAGGAGTAACTTAGGCTACTTTTATTGCAGTAAAAGAATTAGGGTTCCGCTCAAAAAAAATATACCTAGGGACGAACCCGAGCGAAGTAAGAGTGAGTCGCTAGTTTAAAAATAAGTTCAGAAGCTTTTACTTAAACCTTGAACAAAAACTCAAAATATACTAGTTATTCCTAAAGAAGAGTTTTTGTCAATAGAATAATAAATAGCCTTAAAAGACTCGGCAATGCATATCAATATTCTATAATTAGTATCATTTAATATTGTAATATAAAATTATGTCTAGGTTTACCTTCGCAAACAGGGCAATTGTAGTGCGTATGTCGTTGATGTTTCGGACTGTCGCATGGCGCATAGCATTCTGGTCGAGATATAGTAACTACGCCAGCTTCACAGCGCAGCAGTTGGCCATCTTCGTTCCACTCAGTGTGAGAGAGGTGTTCTGTGCCATTATACCAGCATCCCTTGCAACGCGCACAGCAGCCCTCCCGAGGCATGATTACCGCACAGTCATCCATCAAGCTGCATTCTTCTGCACCTTTCCGACATTCCACAAAACCGTTCTAGAACAAATAATAACAAAAAAATATAATTGTTATAATAGTATATACGGTACATATATGGTATCCAATTAGTTGTTTCCTAATCAACATGCCTAATCTAAATACCTATTTAAATTTTTGACGCAATATTAAATTTTGATAGTAGTATTATAATACATAAAATTCAACGGCGCACTTTAATTTTAACCAAACTCGCAAATGTGTGTAAATCTATGGTAGAATACGTCTAGTTCAAGTAGGTATTAAAAAAAATAATGTAATAAGAAAAATGGCAGTATATTGTCACTGACCAAATGTGACTTTTCGTGACGTTTTTCAAAAATTACTTAGGTTCTATCAGATATTTGGATATTCTCATTCACTTGATTTCCACAACAAAATCGCTAAAAGTGATATATGTATATTTTTTTTATATTAACTATTAATATTTGATAGATTAAAATAATGATGTGAAATTGTCAAAAAAAATAAGTTTAATAATTAAATAATTGCTACAATATCTTTTTATTATGAAAAAATAACTTCCCGAAGCTTTTATTTAAGCTTTATATCATTTTAAAAGCTAATTAAATACTTAATATTATACATACAACCCTATATAGCCTTTATACACTACTACCATTTATGTACATATATGTATTATCTAGTATACCTATATATCTTCCTAAATAAACCTTAATATAAAAATTGACTACTAACCAATTAAAAAAAATTACAAATAATAAAAAATGAACCCAAGCTAGGGTTTACTAATAGCCACTGAAGTTCCAATATCCACCTCCTTGCTCCATCATCAGAACAGCTCAAATCATAGCCAATCAGCCAAATTATAGTATTGTCATTTGAATTACATAAACATAAATGCAAACTTTCATTTTGATAGATCAATTAGAAATAAGTTAAAATTGACTTCTAAGAGATTACATTGTTATACACAAATGAAGCTAATAAAATTTAGTTAAAAAAATAATAGAAATAAACAACATGGTAACATGACTAATAATTGAGATATATAGAGATTGCCCACCCAAGAATCATTAAATATACATATGTTAAATAATCTTTTCTAAGAGAATACATGCATTCTCACAGAAATAATTACTCAATATTTTTTCTAGCGACAGAATATTGTTATTAGCGTCTTGTTTGGCAGACATGTTTCAATATTTGCGGCCAATATTTACATAAATCTGTACACTATCAAACGTTTTAACACCAAACATTGTGTCCTAATTTGTATGTGTCCATGGCCCTGCGTTAAAATAGCCTCGACTGTAGTCGGTAACGACCACAGTACGTGACGATATGACGATGTTCCTAAAGCACACCATAAGCGGACAGTTAAATCTGACCTCCATAAGTTCGCATGTCAGGCCTCTACAATTGAGAATATTGTTAGCTCTTTTTTAGATTATTTTGACTGGTTAACTGAAAACGTCAAATTAAAACTCATTGAAGGACTTTTTATCCATTGAGTTATAACATTTTTTGTCAATTTGCTGTTTGAGAAAAAAGAAGAATAAAAGTAGTTAGTAGGTATATTTAATAAAATCTAGTACTCCAAATCAAAAAAAAATTATCAAATAGCCTAATATTAAGAAGAAAAATTAGCAATCTTGATAAATGTGCTAAATGCTAATCCATAATATGTTGATAATATTTATTTTAATAAAATTAATACAGTATAATCTAATGTATATCACATGTATATTAGCTCTTATAGATACTTCTCCGCTTCTATTTTAATAAGTGAGTGTTAGTTATCTGTTCTGTTTTATGTGCGGTATATTATAATAAATAATTGCCAGTCGACAGATTTAAGTACAATTATTTTTAGAAAACGTAAATAATCCTCTAGTAGATTCTTACTTCAAAGAGCCGCTTTAGAAATTTGGTTAAAGTACTGAAAAACAATAAACATAAAATTGTAGCTAGTGACCTCGTATGTAATGTGCAGACAAATAAATTGCTCAAGGATGAAAATCTAAAGTTGAACCGCAACGATTGTTTTTTCGAAGAAATAGATTTTAAATATTTATCTCTTACCAAACCCATATGTACATATGTATATGTCTAGACGTATGTGTATGTCATAAAAGATATATATCCCTCACCTAAGCGATATTATAAGTATAATTATGTCTATATAGAAACTATTTTTGTTTAGCGTATAATATATGTGAAACATTAAACTCGGCTCCGCCCGCGTTTAGATGACCAAAAACCATATTCTTAGGTTTTACATATTAGTACAATGCAGTTTTTGTATTTTTTTCAGAAATGAGATATTTTTCGCGGTAAAAAGTGTCCTTTTTGTTGACCCGGATAATCAGCTATCATCATGCCAAATTTCATGAAAATCCCTCCAGTGGTATTTCTGTGGTGCAGTAACAGACAGACAGACAAAAATTCTAAAAACTATAGATTCGGCTTCTGTATCGATAATCATGTTTACTTCAATAAGATTTTCCAAAAAATATTTTATGTACAGATTCGGCTCAGTTACAATTTTATTATATGTATAGAAGATACATTTTTAATGTTATCAGCTTGTCTCACTGTCTACGGAATTTTAGTTATCTACTAATAAGTACACATCGGACGCAGGCCGCGTCATATTGATTTGTCATTAGATAATTATAACTAGGCACAAAGGTGATCTGAACTAATTGAAATTAATTGAATACTGTCACTGTCATATCATAAAGACAAAACAATAATAAGTCAACTTAATTCTTTCAACATCTAACATTGAGGCGTTATCAAAAAAAATATCACTTTAAAAATAATAATAAATTACTATACTTAAAAATAATATTAAAAATAAATGATTGAATCTGATGCACTCACACCTTTGACCTACTACTTTATATGACGATTGATAATTTTTATAATGAATGAAGCTATTAATAGTAGTAGTTCATTGTATAACTTCATATAAAAATGATGATAATGTTCTCCTGACCGATTCCGGCCACGGCGGCCAATCTCATTGAGACTAGCCAACTGCGCAGGAGATATTATAGTGCACAAGTGTACGCGCAAACATAAGTGCTCTCTCTGTTCCTGTCACTCTCATACTCCGGTGGGACGACTGCTCGACACGACCAGTGAGAGTTAAGGCGCAGAACCGACGGCTTTACGTGCTCTCCGAGGCACGGGGGTGAAACACCGCCAACTTTCCAACTCTGGGCTGTTACTGAGGCTAACTATACAGAAAGACTCAATAACTAAAGGGTGTGCAGCCGTACTTGCTAGCCACTACACCACAGAGGCAGTTTTTTATATAAAAATATTATACTGCCAACATAAGTTCACAGCTTGCCGCACGCTACTCTACGTAGTTCGCAACAACTTTAAATGGGACTAAGCAATACCGGGGACTCACGCTATAAGCTTGCATCGTATCGTTGAATCTTGTATAACTAGGTACAGCCTTAAATATTTATAAATACTAAACCTATAATAAAATATTATTGTTAGAAACTATTTACTAAATGTACAAAACGAAACTATATCAATTCATCATGTCTGTCTGTCCGTCTTTAAGTCTACACGTCACGGTAGTATAACTCGGGAATATTAGCACTAGCAGATTTAATATACAAATCGAGATAAAAATATATTGAGTAATCAAGCTATATTTATATTCATTCCAACACGTACAAAATACGTTAGGCAAAATTTCTCTTTTCCCTCTTGTCATTCATCTCTTTATCACGCTGTGTCACATTTTTGAAATTAATAGAGTCATATCGGTATAATATAGATACTTGTTATTAATTTACAAAATATCAAATAAGAAATAAAAAAATCGATTGTATATAAGTTTGTGTGGTATCTTTAGCTTTTAATATAATATTATTTATATAGTATAAAGCAAACTCGCTGTTTTAGTCAGTCTGTTTTGATACGGTTTTCACTATCATGTAGAAATCTTTTTTTCTTCCGGAAAGTTTATATTTATAATACATGCATATTATAGTAGAGAAAAGCCGAGGATTTTAAAGATTTGTTAAATATGTTATACGTTGTGCATTTAATGTAGATTAAAATTTTCCATTATAGCATACCTATCATTAAAATTATTATATCTTAAAAGATATCACAGATTTAAAATTATTAATCGCAAAATGAAACGGACAATGTGCTAGAAAATTGTAGGTCTTAAAAAGGCCTATAGAAAAGTCTGCGAGAGCAGGTATCTATCTACCTTCTAAGTTATACTCACAAAACTCTTTTTATTTTTAAAAACGTACCTGAGCGAAGCAATGGTATATTGCTAGTTTACGCATAAATTGCTAAGATTTTTTCATATAAAATGTTTAATGTATGAGCTCCGTGCTTAGCTTACAAGATATTATGTGTATAGATAATAACATAGCAACAAAGTGCAATGCCATTAGGACTAAAAAGATAAGATATTAAATTGATACTCACCCCAAAAAGAAAACAATTAAGGCTTACGTAGCATCATTTGCAATAAAAAGATTAAAACCAATCTTTGCACCGGAGTTTATCTGAAATTTTTATTTTCATTAAGATGCATTAGTTGCAAAAGCAAAGCAAAATGACAATAGATTTGAAACAAAATTGAATTGCCAGCAAACACCTTAAGCTAGATTTATGATTTATCTAAGAAAAATATAGAAAAAATGTATGTACCTAATCTATACATATAATAAAATTGTAACTAAGCCGAATCTGTACATAAGATATTTTTTGGAAAATCTTATGGAAATAAACATTATACTGATACAGAGGCCGAATCTATGGTTTTTAGAATTTTTGTCTGTCTGTCTGTCTGTCTGTTACCGCATCACAGAAAAACTATTGGAGGGATTTTGATAAAATTTGGTATGGTGATAGCTGGTTATCCGGGTCAACATATAGGATACTTTTTACCGCGGAAAATATGTCATTTCTGAGAAAAAATACAAAATCTGCAATGTAAGAGTAATCTAATATATAAAAACTAAGAAGTTGGTTTTTGGTCATTT